CCCACAGAATGTGGAAATTATCGAACAATATCATTAATATTGCACACAAGTAAGATCTTACTGAAGATAATTAAAAAATGGTTGCAGTAGTATATTGACAGAGAACTTCCAGAGGTGCAAGCTGGATTCAGAAGAGGATGTGGGACAAGGGATATCATAGCTACTGTCTGATGGATCTTGGCTCAAGGCAAAGAATACTGGAAAGATATTTGTGTTTTATTGACTATGCAAAGGCATTTGATTGTGTAGATGATAACAATTGTGGATGACATTGAGAAGAAGCGGAATTCCAGAACACCTGATTGTGCTCATAAGGAAACTGTACATTGACCAGGAGACTGTTGTTCAGACAGAACAAGGGGACAGTGCATGGTTTAAAATCAAGAAGGGAGTGTGTCAGGGTTGTACCCTTTTCCCATACTAATTCAATCTGTATGCCAAGCAAATAATCTGAGAAGCTGGGCTATATGAAGAAGAATGTGACATGAAGATTGGAGGAAGAATCATTAGCAACCTGTGATATGGTGACGACACAACTTTGCTTGCTGAAAGTGAGGATGACTCAAGGCACTTACTGATGAAGAATGAACAATACAGTCTGTTGTATGGATTACATCTCAATATAAAGAAAACAAAAATCCTCACAACTGGACCTATAAGCAGCATCATGATAAATGGAGAAAAGACTGAAGTTGTCAAAAACTTCACATTACTTGGTTCTACAATCGATACCAATGGAAGCAGCAGTCAGGACATTAGACGACATATAGCACTGAGCAAATTGGCTGCAAGGGACCTCTTTCAAGTGCTGAGGAGCAAGGATGTCTCTTTGAGGACTAAGGTGTGTCTGACACAAGCCATGATATTTTCAATCACCTCATATGCATGTGAGAGCTGGACAATGAATAAAGAAGACTGAAGAAGAATTGATGCGTTTGAGTTATGGCGCTGGAGAAGAATGCTGAAAAGTACCATAGATTGCTAAAAGAACTAACCGATCTATCCGGAGGAAGTGCAGCCAAAATGCTCCTTGGAAGTGAGAATGGCCAGACTTCATGTCACCTACTTTGGTCATGTTATCAGAAGGGACCCATTCCCTGGACAAGGATATCATGCTTGGTAAGGTGAAGGGTTGAGAAAAGAGGGGAAGGCCCTCAATGAGATGGATTGACACAGTGGCTGTGACGACGGGCTCAAGTATAGCAAGGATCATGGAGCTAGCTCAGGACCGGGCAGTGTTTCCTTCTGCTGTGCATAGGTCACTATGAGTCGGACATAACTTGATGGAACCTAACAACAACAACAACAACAACATATAAAACCAAAGGCCAACATTATTCTCAATGGGAGAGACTGGAAAGCATTCCCCTGATGAACAGCTACCAGACAAGGATGCCCTTTATCACCAGTCCTATTCATCATTTTATTGGAAGTCCTAGCCAGAGTAATAGGGCAAGACAGGGAAATAAAGGCTTCCAAATTGGCAAAGATGAAGTAAAACTACCTCTTTTTGCAGATGATATGATCTTATACATAGAAAATCCCACAGACTCAGTAAGAAAATTACTGGGACTAATTGAAAGTTTCAGCAAAGTGGCAGGGTACAAGTTCAACTCCTTTACACTAATGAAGAGAACTCTGAAAAGGAAGTCCAGAAAGCAATATAATTTACAGTAACCACCCAAAAGGTGAAGTACCGAGGAATAAATCTAACAAGAGACACAAAAGACCTACAGAAAGAAAACTACAAAACACTATTACAAGAAACCAAAAGAGATCTACATAAATGGAAGAGTATACCATGTTCATGGATGGAAAGACTTAACATCATGAAAATGTCAACACTACCCGAAGCAATCTACAGATATAATGCAATCCCAATCCAGATTCCATCAGTTTTATTTAAAGAGATGGGAAAACTAATCACCAACTTTATATGGAAAGGAAAGAGACTTCAGATAAGTAAAGCACTACTAAAGAAGAAGAACAAAGTAGGAGGCCTCATACTCCCTGATCTCAAAACCTGTTACCTAGCCAAGGTAGTTAAAACAGGCTGGTACTGGGTACAATGACAGACACATACCAATGGAACAGAATTGAGAACCAAGAAGTAAATCCATACACCTGTGGACAGCTGATCTTTGACAAAGGGCTGAAACTCATTAAATGGGGGAAGAGAGAGTTTCTTTAATAAATGGTGCTGGCAGAACTGGATACCATTTGCATAAAAATGAAATAGGACCCATGTGTTACAGCATATACAAAAATGAACTCAAGTTGGATCAAAGACTCGAACATAAAACCTATAACCATAAAACCATCAAAGAAAAAACAGGGACAAATTTAGGAGTCCTAATTCATGGCATAAATACACCATCAAACATAACTAAAAATGTGCAAATAGTAGAAGACAAAATAGGTGACTGGGACCTCCTAAAAATTATACACTTAAGTGCCTCAAAAGATTTCACAAAAGACTAAAAACAGAACCCAATCTTTTCAGCCAGAGCAAAGAAGAATGGAGAAAACCAAAGATGCATGGAAACAATTAGTCCAAGTGACTGGTACACCATGCGATCCTCAGCCTGTATGACTATGAGACCAGAAGAATAGATGTGCCCTGCTACCACTGTCAACCACTCAGAGGGGCATCCATGTAGGAGATCCTGGACAGAGTGGGAGAATAATGTGGAACAAAGCTCAAAATCATTAAAAAAGAAAAAAAAGAAGAAGGGACCAGGTTTGCTCCTCTGATAGAGTCTGGTGGAACTCCTGAGTCTATGGCCTCTAGCTGCCCTTCAGGTCTGGAATTGAACCCACTCCTGTGGTTTCTAGCCAAACAAAAGACAGGCATAGGAGCTGAAAATGTATATTAGGTAGATACACTCCTCGGAGAGATCAGTAATGGGAGAATAGAAGGGCTGTGTATGCACAGGGAGACAGCTCAGGGGGCGGGAGAACATGGAGAGAAGGACACTGGGAAGAGGTAACTATGGGGAGGAAGTGGGAGGGGAGCTGTAGCATTGTGTGAAATTGCAGTTGATATCACGAGACAAAGTAGTGTGAGCTGCTGTATGGAAAGTCAATTTGCTCTGTAAGCTTTTGCCCAAATCACAATAAAAATTAAAAAAAATAATAAAAAGAGAACCCATAGACTGGAAAAAGTTTTTGGGAATGACATATCAAATAAGGGGCTAATCTCTAAAATGTATACAAGACTTCAACACTTTAACAACAAGAAGACAAATAATCCAATTAAAAATGGGCAGAGGACATGAACAGACACTTCACCAAAGAAGACATTCAGGCAGCTAACAAACATGGGAAGGAATGCTCACAGCCATCAGCAATGAAACCCAACTCACTGCTGTTGAGTCGATTCCGACTCACAGTGATCCCCTTTGGGTTTCTGAGGCAATAAATCTTTACAGAAGTAGATTGCCCAGTCTTCCTTCTGCAGAGAGCCTGGTGGGTTTGAACTGCCAACTTTCTGGTTAGGAGTCAAATGCCTTAGGCACTACACCACCGTTAGAGAGATGGAAATCAAAACAATGAGATACCATGTCACCCCAGCATTAACAGCAAAGTTCCCAAAAATAGAAAACAACAAATGCTGGTGAGGGTGTGGAAAGACTGGCACCCTCACGCACTGCTGAGGGGAGCACTGTGGAGAATGGCACAACCACTGTGCAAAACAGCATGGCGATTCCCTGGAAAGCTAGAACTAGAAATACCGTATGACCTAGCAATCCCACTACTGGGCGTATAACCTAGAGCGTGAAGAACTGTGACATGAGCAGAAATACGCACACCCACGTTCATCACAACCCATCAGTGGATGAATGGCTCCACAAACTATGGCCAATACACACAATGGAACGCTACACAATGTTGAAGATAAATACTGAAACTAGAAGACATCTCATCACATGGAGGAACCTAGAGGACATTATGCTAAGTGAAATTAAGTCAATCACAAAAGGATAAATATTGTATGGGACCACTACTGTAGAAAGGAAAAGGCTTTCATACAAAAGGAAATATTCTTTGATGGTTACCATGGGTGAGAGGGGCAGGGCGGGGAAATCACTAACCAGAGGGCACCAACCAACTCACTGCCCTTGAGTGGGCTCTGACTCATAGCAACCCCTCCTTGGGTTTCCAATGTAGTATCATATTAAAGAAAGAAAGAAATTAAATGACTTATTACATTGGGCCAATCTGCTACAAAAAAGCTTTTTAAAGGGTTGAAAAGCAAAGATGTCACTTTGAAGACTAAGGTGAACTTGACCCGCACCATGGTATTTTCAATCGCCTTATATGCATACAAGAGCTGGGCACTGAATAAGGAAGAAAGAAGAATTTATACCTTTGAATTGTGGTATTGGGAAATAATACTGAATGTATCAGACTACCAGAAGAACACACCAATGTGTCTTGGAAGAAACACAGCCAGAATGCTTCTTGAAGCAGGGATGGTGGGACTTGGTCTAACATACTTTGGACATGTTATCAGGAGGACCCAGTCTCTGGAGAAGGACATTGTGCATGGCAGAGGGTCAGCAAAAAGAAAAAGACCTTCCACGAGATGGACTGAGATGGTTACACAACAATGAACTCAAATTCAGCGAGAGTTGTGAGGATGGCTAGGACCCCGCAGTGTTTCTTCTGTTGTCCGGTGTGATCGGAACTGACTCCACGGCACCTGACTCCTCTCTGTAATACTATTTACTTTTGCAATATTAAATCGACTGGAACATAATAGGCAATGCAAATCGATTCCATTACAGCATACACAAGCCCAAAGGATGCCCCGCCCCGCTTTGCCCGCCCACCCCAGCCTAGGCCAGCCCATCCGGGTAGCCCAAGGCCCCGCCCCCTGGAGGCTCCGGTCCCTCCCCTCAGACATTTTCAAGTCCCACCCCTAGTCAAGCCCGCGCGCGCAGCCGCAGTGCATTAAACCAATCACCATCCGTTTCTGCACTTTCAGTCCCGTTTCGGCGTCTGACCTCAGTCAAAATGGCGCAGTCACGGAAGTTGCCGAAGCTCTAGAGGTTACCGAAGTAGGTCCGGAAGCGACCGAGCGAGTCCGGAAGTTGCCGAAAGAGAGCAGCGGGAAGGGAGGATGGCGGATATCGTCGCAAGACTCCGGGAGGACGGGATCCAAAAGCGTGTGATACAAGAGGGCCAAGGAGACCTACCTGACTTTCAGGATGGAACCAAGGTCTGTGTTTACCCTTTTCCCTTGTGCGGCACGGTGCGCATGCGAGGCGGGAGGAGGCCTTAGGCGAGAGGTTGCGCATGCTCAGATTGCAGCGGCCGCTGACCCTACCGCTCACATGCGGCGCTCGACGTTGATTGGTCTGAATTTAAGTAGAGGGTGAATTTGGATACGTGTGTCCCACCCCCAGCCTTGGCTGTGTGGCCTCATTGGTCGGAGCGGCCGTCGGTCACTACAAACAAGGTGAGGGGCTTTGACCTCAGTGTTTGGGCGGATCCGGCGTTGGAGGAGATCTTGGGCCGGAAGCTGGGGACGCAGCGGGGGATGTGCGCTTTCTGGGTCTCAGGTTCAAGGTTTTTTATAATTGAAGGGCCTTCTGAGAACTCGTCTGTCTTGAGAACAAGTCCAACTCCCATTACTTACCTGGGAAAACTCATGTCCCAGGGTTGGAAACGCACAAAATGAGCCCAGGGGTCCAGTCTGCCCGCCGGGAGCCCATTGACAGCTAGGCGACTGCTCTACGGGGCGTGGCTCGGGACACTTAAGGTCTTGCAAGTGAAGAGCCCCCCCCCTACATCCAGGCTCCAAGCTCCCAACCCTCCAGGCGTCCTTAAGCCTGCGGTTCCCTGTTGTCTGTACAGTAAGGAGCTTCCCGGGGCAGCCCCTGTACCTGGCGCAGGGCAGTCGCAGAGGTGTTTATTGAGCGGGTGATTAAGATCCTGGCGAATACTAGGGACTTCAAAAACAACTATCATAAATGACTGGAAAGCAGCCCTGGTGGCCAGTGGTGAAATGCTTGGTTGCTAACTGAAAGCTTGGTGATTAGAACCTACTAGTCATCACCTGGGAGAAGCATGTGGCGGCTGCTTCCATAGCCTTGGAAACTTTGGGGCAGTTCTGCTCTGTCCTCCCCGGAGCCACAGTAGGTATCAGAACGTTGCCAGGATCCAGCCACTTCTCATACTTGTCACCACGTCCACCATGACCACCCTGCTCCCAGCTACCACTGCCTCTCCCTGGATGACGGCAGTGACCCCTTAACGTGCCCTTCTGCTCTGCCTGTCCCCCCTATAGTCTGTCCTCATCCCAGAACTCAAATGGGACCATGCTGTTCCTCTGCTTGGCACCACAGGGGGGCGCCCATCTCACTGAGTCCGGGAAGGCCCCCCCCCCCCCCGCTGATGCCGACCCGATAGCCTCCTTCCCCTCACTCCCTCTGCTTCTGCGACTCTGGCCACCTTACTTCTTGGACCCACCAAACATGGGCCCACCGTAGGGCTTTTGTAGCTGCTGTTCTTCTGGCCTGAGGAGCTCTGGTGGTGCAGGGGTTAAGACATTTGACTGCTAACCAAAAGGTTGGCGGTTTGAACCCACTAGCCACTCTGAAGAAGGAAGATGAGGCAGTCTGCTTCCGTAAAGGTTTACAGACTTGGAAACCCAGTGGGGGTTGCAGTGAGTCGGAATCAGCTTGATGGCTGTGAGCTTGGACTCTTCTGGCCTACAAGGTGCATGCTCTTCTCCGCCCTGGGGGCCTCTAGCTCCTCCTCCCTTCAGGTCTCTGCCCTCCCTCACAGCTGCTTCTTAGCCATGCCCGCAGGCAGGCCTGTCTCTGGTTCTTTGAGCTTCTGCTCGGCTTGGGCAAGTGTTGAAAGCTCTCGAGTTCTGCCAGGAAATGCCCAGAGGCAGCCCACTCTGCCAGCGAGCCTCTGCCTGAAGGCACTCGGCTCTCTCGCTGCGTGGGCCGGGAAGCCTGCCACACCGCCTTCTGGTTCTGCTGTTACCATCCCTTCCATTGCATCTCTCTGTCTCTAGCGGTGTCTCTGGTGTCTCCTGGGTCTCGGAAGGTCTCAGTACAGGGATCCCACGTACAAAAGGACACGCTCCATTCCCGTCTCCTCCTCTTGGTGGCAATGGGGCCCTTCTTTTCTGCCTCTTGGGTGGCTCATTTTAAGCCCAGTGGCACAGTGGAATGGACCAATCCCCTTGTTAGGGTCCCATACACCTTATTTGTGTTGCCCCACCCCCACAAGGGTATCCTTATTATTACCAGCTGTTTCTTGTGATTTGGGTGAAATCCATGCATTTTATTTACAGTATTAGCAAGCTGTACAGTGCCCTTAGTGGGCTATAAGCACTTCACTTGCAGTGAGACGTTCATCTGTGGAAGTGGAGTTGCCTTTGGGGTGCGGCCTGCTTCCGGTCTACGTGGAGAAGCTTTGGGGAGGGCGGTAGTGTTTTTGGCACATTGTGGGTCCTGCATTTGGGTGAGCTTCATCTCCAGTTCGTGGACTAGAACCGGTGGAGCCTCCGTGTTGCCAGCCGATCTTGAGTTTGTCAGGCTCAGCAGCCAACAGCTGCTAGGCCCGGTTCCAGGGCCTAGAATGAGGCAGACCTGAAGCCCAAAGTTGAGGGGCCTTTACCCAGACTCTGGAGCCAGAACTCTGAATTCGGACGTCAGCCTCCAGAACTGAGCAAGAATAAATTAGTTTGTTAAAGCCGTCGCCTGAGGTGTGTTGCAGCAGCACTAGAGAACCAGGAGGAGCTCCCCTGACTTTGCACTTGGCCTTGTGTGATGCCTCTCCCTCCTCTAGAATGTGAATGCCGTGAGGGCATAGACTTCTGTCTCTTTTGGTCATTACTGTAGCCTGGTTAAAGAGTCCTGATGACAGAGTGGTTAAAGAGCTCAGCTGCTAAGTATAAGGTCAGCAGTTCGAACCCACCAGCTCTGTGCGAGAAAGATGTGGCAGTCTGCTTCTGTAAAGATTATAACCTTAGAAACCCTTTGGGGAAGTTTTACTCTGTCCTGTAGGGTTGCTAGGGAGCTCTAGTGGCATAGTGCCCAAGGCATTTGACTGTTAAGCAGAAGGCTGGCGGTTCAAACCCACTAGCTGCTCCGTGCAAGGAAAATGGGGCAATCTCCTTTCATAAAGATTTACTACCTCAGAAACCCAACGGGGGTTGCTATGAGTCTGAATCGACTCAATGGCAGTGAGTTTTTTTTTTTTTTT